AGGGGTCATCCTGTTACAAATTGATAAACAAAGGGTTAGAGTATTCAAATTAACAATATTCAAATTAACATTATGTAGCATTGCAAAATTTGAACCACTTGTTATGCAATATGAACATAATATGAAAGCACATGTATATATTCAAAGTAACATTAACAGACATATTAAACAATTTCACTAGAAAAATAAGCAACTTCTATGTATGGACCTGCTGTCCACTAGTGTTTCTTATTAAATTATTACAATAGCTTGTCTGCATCTGCTAGAGTAGCTCATTATAATTTTAACCTAGGGATGAGTAGCCCAGTATAAGATGAATTGATTGAGAACTATCATATGTGTCATACTTAGTCCTATACTCTATACTAATATGTCTAAAAATACAAATTGTCTACTTTTTCGCACAATGTTATGATGGACTCATAGCAGTACGACATCGACGATGTTGTGCACGATTTTGGAGGTTCTAGTGCTTTCAATATATGCTTGAGTAAAATGATCATTTGATTAATATTTCCATGTAAGAAAACAAGCATATAACAATTTAAATCATAAAAACTCAACCAACCAAATTTGTCGCTATATATATGTATGTCTAGTGCACAGAAAACACATAAATAGATTTATATTTCACGTGTCTTTTAATTAGACATTTGTTTTCGCTATAATTAATAATACATTGTAAGAAAATTAACAATTAAAGTATATAAATAATAATACAATATAAGATAAATTAACGGCTAAAGTATATTTTAAAAGAATCTCTCAATCTAATGGCTAACTATTAATATAAAGGGGAAGTGAAGGTATGAGGGTTTTGATTATGAAGACATAGGCACCAAATTTCACCTTAGCGAGGGTTGAACTATAGTGAGAGCGTCCGTGTCGTGCCAGCATGCAGGCGCGGCAGCGGCAGGCGCTGCGGGCGTGGCGGCGGCGGCGCTGCGGGCAGGCAGGAGGGAGGGTGGGCGGCTCGCGGGCAGGCGGGAGGGAGGGTGGCTCGCGGGCGTTATTTATCTAGTCCTACCGCGCCGTGGTCTATGGCGCGTCACTACCGCACCAAGATCGATGGTGCGACAGACCCTGCCACGTCATCGGTCAGCGCCCCGGTCGTCGCCACGTCACCCCTCTCGCCGCGCCACCATGCATGGCGCGGCACAGGCTTTTCGCCGCGCCATGGCAATAGACGCGGCCAAAAGTGTTAGTTTTGAAGAAAAAAAAACAGTGTTAGATTTAAAATTAGTTTACAAAAAGTGTTAAAAAAATTCTACATTTAGTATCTATATTAGAAATTAATACGAATGCGGATATCCATATTATATTCAGATTTTTAGACATTGATTTCCATCCATATTGCACAAGTTGAGTATGGCAGAATTGTGAAAGTATATGGTTGAATTCAAACTCTAATGTATCCTAGGTGACCAACCATTTCTTTTGAAAAAGAAAGTTTTATTCCGATCTCAGCATAAGTTATGCACGCAATCAAAATTTAATGCAAATCAAGTCTTTGGCTTATAAAAACTAGCTCTCAAAGAGCTCGCCAGAAGCAACAGAAAAAACAACAATCTATGCAGTAATCATATATTCAAAGACGACCATCCATGTTTGGCGAATATCTTTATTGCTATTGTCTTCAAGATACGACTTGCTCACTTTAACATTGGTGGGTTATTATTTTTTTTTGGTAAGATGGACTAGAAACGTGTCCAATAAATATCCTTTAAAATAACATGTAAATAAGAATATTGTATCTTTTTTTTTGTCAAAACCAATTCATTTTATTGCACTCGCTCCTACACAAACTTGAGAGTGCAAGTTGTGATCTACTTGTTGAGGCCCGAGGCCAATGACCAAAAGAATCTACAGGGTTGCTGGTGGACGTAAACGAAAAGCAATTTCAAATGCCCTCCAAATAAAGTGCATTACATGGCAATTGAAAAAATATTGAATAGTTTCTTCTAGGAATAGGTGTAATCAGATCTGCTTTTGACATATCTATCCTATTCTTATTTGGGTACCATATGCACCTCTTTGGGCTTCTATTGAATTGAGAAATTGGATTGTACATCTTTTTTTTTATTTTGATATCGATTTTGATACATAAGTTTTTATTGGTTCTCCAGGAAAGTATGTTGGTCTTGCAGAAATAATTAGGGGATTTCAACTAATCCTTTCCAGAGAATTAGACGGCCTACCCGAACAGGCTTTTTATTTAGTGGGGAACATCAATGAAATCGATGAAAAGGAAATAACTCTCATCACCTCTCCAATTACGCTTTACAAGGTTATCTTTAGTTAAAATTATGCCCTTCGGAGAGAACCAAATAAAGATATTAGTTTTAAGAGGTAATTTCAACTTCCAAACTACTTTATTTAAAGACATTACGACAAGTCGGTTCTAAGTATACATGGATTGAACTGAGGAACCTTGGTTGTTCAGATTCCACTTAATTACATCTTGTGGTCATCAAGTTGCACAAACGCTATTCCTAATACCAAGTCATTCCACTAGGCTAGCTTATCACCAACTAGTGCCTTGTGGAAAGTCAATTTAAGTGATGTAGAACTAAAAACCTGAGCAATCGTAATACTTTTTCTAGCAGTATTGTATAAAGTTAGGTATTATTTTTTCAGAGCCAAGTTTTCAAACCACTTGCCTTCTCAAAACCTAACAGGGAACCCATTGTGCAAATTAAAAGAAGATAACCCTAGGAAACGATCTTTGGCCTTTATAAGACCTGACCAAAAGTGTGAACCTCCTGGTTTCCAATGTTTTTCCTCTAAAGTTTTGTTTTTTAAGTACTTCTTTCTAAAAAGTTTTTGGCTTGTCTTCATTTATTAATTTAAAGACTACTTAACAAGTAAGCATTTTGAGTCGTAAGGTCTATAATCCCTAAGTTACCTCTTGTTCCTTTTTTAGGGCAAGCCACCTCTTGTTCCTTTGGTAGGCATAGAACTGTCCATTTTGTCAGCCTATATTTTTTTCCGGAAATGCTTAGGGGCGGGCGTCTGATCTTCCGGACGCTGATGTTGCCCTGGGCCGCGATGCTGGCCTTAACGGTCCAACAAGTGTGTTCCATTATACTCGTATTTTTATTAGGAAATCATTCGGCCATTGTCCACTTTCTAGAACGGAAATCCCACCCTTCACTCGTCGAGGTCCCAGACTCCCAGCACCGCCGCCGTGGTGGTCGCAGCCTGCCACCATCCTTCCTCTCCACCGGGTGGTGCTCGCGTGCCGCAGCTGGCGCTAATGCTGGTGGTGCTTGATCCCCTAGTCGCGCTCGCCACCTACTTCCTCCCGTCACACGTGCTGCCCGCCTGGCCGAGCCAAGCCCGGTGGTGGTGGTGGTGGTGGTGGTGCTCGTGCGCTAACGCTCGTCGCCGACTCCGACCCCAACGGCTGGATTCGACCGGCCCTAGCCTCCCCCATGTTGCAAAGCACATGTTTCAAGTATTTCAAATATTTTATAGGTATGTTGCGAGTGTTTTCATATAGATGTTGCAAAAGTAGATCGGGATGTTTCATCTGTTACAATGGTTGTATGCTTATATATGTTGCAAGCTTTTGTTCACAATGTTTTATCTGTTTTTTCAGACATATGTTGCAAGTGTGCTTATCTGGATGTTGCATATGTTTCGCGCATATGTTGTAAGTGTTTTATCTGGATGTTGCGTATGTTTACAATGGTTTTAAGTGTTTTTCGGTGTTTTTACAAGTGTTTCAGATGCATGTTTCAAGTATTTCATGAGTTTTAAAACATATGTTGCGAGTGTTGCATCTGTATATTTTAAAAGTAGATTAGGTGTTATCTTCCTCCTCGCCTTCTATTGCCTCGCCTCGGTGTCTCCTCCGCCTCCAGCGAGGTCCGGCATGGCCGCTTGGGTCCTTCCCCTTCCAGGTGTTCAAGTTGGGCGTAGGACAGCGCTGGAGGAGTAGGGGCCAGTGTTGGCCTGCTCATGGGGATGGCCTATGAATGCGGATAGGCCACATCGGCTAGCGAGACACGAGGCTTTTTTTTAGGGAAAAGAGGCACGAGGCTGCGGATGAGTGCGACGCGGGCTCTGGAGCAGCGGCCGACCGTCCGGACGCTAGTCCTTCCGCTATATTTATTTTCTCGCAACTCCATATGTAAACCGTTCTCCTATCTAATAAAAATAAAAACTGTAGAGGACAATAGTAATAATCTATAGCCAGATGAACTGAAGATAGTGACCAATCAGGCAATCAATCATGCAACTTATCCTGTAAGAAACCCGTCCTGAGTTGAATAATAAGAAGGCAAAGCCGGACTTGGCGTTTGCCGTCTTGGGCAGATGCGTACGCACGCGAAATGAATCGAATAAATGAGGGCGTTCCCCGATCGTCAAACCCGGCCGTGTGCCCTTGCAACATTCAGTGCTCCGATCCCCGTCCGCCGCCTGTCGTCCTGGACACCGGATTTTGGAAGATCTCTCCGCGTATAAAAAAAAAAAACCGGGCTGCTGAAACATATGCACATCTTTGTGAATAATCAAGTACGAAAAATGCTAGCTGGATCTGCGACTGCAAACGCAGTACTCCCTCCGTCCCTCAACAGATGACGTTCTGAGATTGAAGGCAGAGCCCAAAGCAAAAGCTAAAAGACCACAGCACTCCTATAATGTAATCATTGCTCATGGCATCAGATTGAAAGACATGCACCACTTTTGCATTAAAAAAATAGTATAACCAAAGCTAAAGCCATGCTTCCTAGCTTTCGGCTAACATCGTGGCCGCCGCTCCCTAGCTTGGGGGAGCATGTCACGTCGCCACCGCCGCCCCCTAGCTTCAGGGCATGCTTGGAGGCCACATCGCCGTCGCGGACCGCCGGCTTGACAACGGGCTCGGGGTTCCCATCGCTTTCGCTGCTGCTGCCTCTCAGCTTTGCGCCGCGCTGCTTCGGCCAGGTACGGTGCGCGGATCCAGGCCAGACGGTCGGGTTTAGGGCGGCGCCGCCCAGCACCAGCCATGCCCGATGGGGAGGAGATGGAAGACGGGGATGCGGCACTGGGATGCGGAGGAGATGGAAGACGGGGAGATGGGGAGGCAGAGGAGATGGGGATGCGGCACTGAGATGCGGAGGAGATGGAAGATGGGGAGATGGGGAGGCGGAGGAGATGGGGGATGGGAGCCGACGGAGATGGAGAGGTGGATGCGGATGGGTGTGCTTCCTCCGTCCGTGACCGAGAGGATAAGTCTCTGGAGATATTTTTTCGTTTCCACAGGCTGTTTCCTTTTTTTATTTTTTTATTCGTGGAGTGGGAGACAGGAACGTGATAGATGGACGGTTGCAGTACTGAGTATAGAGTAGTAGGAGCTAAAACGACATCTATCTCCTTTTGAACGCTCGGACGTCCTCTACTGAGGGACGGAGGAAGTACGTACTTGCGCGAGTTTTCTAGGAGACGAAACAAAACGCAGGGACGTCGGCCAAGGTTGTTTATTTTATTCCGCTACTTCCCATGGTTTCATGGTCTAGCCGTATAGGAACGCACTTTTTTTATTATATATTTTTAAGAAAAACAGAAAACAAGCTCAGACCATTCACTGTTATTATTATATATATATTGTTCTAATAAGCCGACACGGATACCCATGCTTCTCTGTAGCGACTGCGGCAGCCCTTTGTTAGTTTCTTTTTTCATTAAAAAAAACACGGGTAGAAACGGTTACGTATTTTGTCTGAAAAAGTTGGACTCAAGTTGGAGTCTTGGAGAATACAAACCCAACAAGAAGAAACGTCAAGACGATTCACAGGACGACGCCAACTAAACCTCCAAAAAGTACCTAAAGCCCAAAACAAACCAACACAAAGAAACACAAAATATCCACGACGACAAATAAAGCCTAGTGAAGAGCTAAAAATGTCTTTACCATAAGGTCCCAAAAGGCATAGCCTTTCAAACACACGGGTGCCTTGAGGAGGTCTCTTGAGATAGAATTCTGTCAAGCAGTATGCATAATAACCTTCAATTGCATCTTCATCAAGCTTCTCATCATTTCTAAATGATCACCAAATTTTTTTTAAAGCCAGGTTTTCTAGCATATTGCACTTGGCGATCTATCATAATATTCATGTCCTTGTCGATGCTTTGATCAGTGGTAAGTGATGTACAGGAGGAACATTGTTGTTTACATTGCTTCTTATAGATAATAAATATGGAGAATAATGGGCTACTAATGGATTAATGTCGGTGTAATGGATAGCATATAGCAAGCATTTTCTTTAGCATCTCCAACAGACTATCTAAATAAGCCATCTTTCTCTATATTTGAGCAATGAGCATAAACTGCCTTCAACAGGTCAAGTAGAGAATCTCTACTTTTTCTGTTCTATCATTGGAATGGCTAGGGTGATTTAGAAATAGTTTTAGGTTAAAAAAATAAATAGAGAACTTGTTTGTTGAAGATAACACCAGAAATCATGGGTTACCTAAACAGATAAGTAGGGGCTCTATTTTTTTATAATGCTGGAGATGCTCCTATTTGAGGATAACAAAAACTATGTATAATTCTGCATATATTGTATTTTTCTCCAACAATAATTTTTTTGGAACAATTAATAAAATAAATCTATATTTTAAGGGAGCAACTTGTAGTACATGTACGGAGTATAATAAGGTAATATGATAACATAAATTCAAAATAAAAGATAGACTTCGTAATCAGATACAGTGTGAAGTAATCAAGCGCCACCATGACCGGAAGAGCCATACTCTTCGTGCCGTTGAAGATAACAAGGGCCGTGAATGATGAAAGAGTAAACGGACAGGGGCGCATCGTAAACTAACACAACACAACCTCGATGTTGCTGCAGCCACATGCACCGTATCTTGACTAGCTTGACACTGCTATCAGTATCAGAGGCTAATTGTAGGCTGATATTTTGTCGTTCCTGAGTGTGGCACATCACAGCCGCACAAGTTCGTTCTGGCTTTGGGCTTTGGCACGGCGATGCTGCTGCTGCTGCTAGCCTGCTACGAAAGAACACACCGTAGCTAGGTGCTATTTTTCTCGCACCAACTAGGGCCTTGTTTAGATTGAAGAAAATTTCAACCCGATGAATAGTACCACAGTTCTTATTTAGGTAAATATTGCCAATCTTGTGAATCTTTTTCGTCAAAAGATTCATCTACTGATTTAATCAAACTCTAGGAAATTAGTTATTTTTTTTTTATATTTAATGGTGAATTCGCCAAAAATTTTCGTGATGGAGAGAGAGTGAAAAAACTTGGAATTTGGAAGTAATCTAAACAAGGCCTAGGAAATAAATATAGGAATATAGTACCACAGTTAGCTAGGTCTAGGTGCGTCTTGTGAATCTTTTTCGTACGAAATCATGTACTTATTTAATCAAACTCTAGGAAAAAGTTTTGGGGTTAGGTGAATTCGCCAATCATTTCGTGATGCTTTCGGTAGTAAAAATCTCCTTCTCTTTCTCCGCAGCTCAAGCGACTGCGACTCCTTGCTTAAACAAATGGCTTCAGTGTAACATCAGCTAGCTGTTCAGTACAGTACCACTAGGCTACTACTGTCCAATAAGTGAGTTTTTTTGTACAAAATGTTTTGAATATCTAGACTAGACCGTGTTTTCCCACGCTCATATAGTCATATAGGTCAGGTTCAGCTTTACCATTGTCGTTGTTGGTTCGGTGGTTGTCGGATCTGAGCTAATACAGCACTGAGGTCTGGTCCGGTGAATGGATCTCAGACGAGATGACTACCTCACATTTCCTCTTCCAAACAGTTTCTATGTACATTCATGGAACAGGTTCAGCCTCTCAGTTTCAGGTCATGTCCCTCTCTGAAATCATGCAGCCGTCTCTGACTCTGACAAGCAAGGAGTCGGTAACTGACGCTAGAGAACATGCAGATATTCAGAACGGTCCTGTTAGCACGCCAATAATCCAGGGAGTTGGCAAGACCGGTGTTAAAACTTGCTACACACGGGTTTGGTTGGGCTGCTGCTGCAACTTTACCACTTTGCCAGTAATTCAGGGAAGGTTACTGTACTTTGTAAACTGCTCTATGGCCATGGCTTAATTATGTAAGACCACTTCTATATTTCAGATGCCTGATTTTTTTTTCTTGTCATCGTTTGACTATAGAAAAAATTATAAATTATTTCTTATAAGTTGTCCTTTTAATTATAGGATGGCTAGGGTTCGTGAGAGAAAAACAAGGGAAGGGACTTCAACCAAGTTAAGTGCATTAAGGATGAAAGAGATCATCTCTTGGTGGAGGAGGATGAGATCCGACATCGATGGCAAGAGTATTTTGACAAATTGTTCAATGATGATAATACGGACACAACCTTTCAGGTGGATGACTCTTTTGATGACACCAATAGACGTTTTGTACGGAGAATCCAAGAATCTGAGGTCAGAGAGGCGTTGAAAATGATGAAAAGAGGTAAGGCGATGGGACCGGATGGTATCTCAATCGAGGTGTGGAGATGCCTCGGGGACATAGCTATAGTATGGCTAACCAAGCTGTTCAACCATATTTTTCGATCGAACAAGATGCCTGATGAGTGGAGGAGAAGTATATTGGTACCGATCTACAAGAATAAAGAGGATATTCAAAGTTGTACTAATTATCGGGGAATTAAGTTGATGAGCCATACTATGAAGCTATGTGAGAGAGTTATCGAGCATCGCTTGAGAGCAATAACGCGGGTCTCTATGAACCAATTTGGTTTCATGCCCGGAAGGTCAACCATAGAAGCCATTTTCTTAATAAGACAAGTTATGGAGCGGTATAGAGAGAAGAAGAAGAACATACACATGGTTTTTATTGACTTGGAGAAGACTTATGATAAAATACCAAGGAATGTTATCCGGTGGACTTTGAACAAACATAAAGTCCTAACAAAGTACGTCGGGCTCATTAAGGACATGTACAACAATGTTATGACTAGTGTTCGAACAAGTGATAGAAACACGGATGACTTCCCGATTAGGATAGGACTACATCAAGGGTCAGCTTTGAGACTTTATCTGTTTACCTTAGTGATGGATGGGGTCACAAGGGACATACAAGGGGACATCCCTTGGTGTATGCTTTTCGCGGACGATATAGTGCTAGTTGATGAAAGCCGGACATGAGTGAATCAGAAACTGGAGTTATGGCAGGAGACTTTGGAGTACAAAAGTTTTAGACTCAGTAGAATTAAAACTGAGTATATGAGATGTGACTTCGGTACTACTACTCTGAAGGAGGAAGATATTAGTTTGAAAGATCAAGTAGTGTCTAGGAAGGATAACTTTCGATATTTAGTATCAATGCTATAGAGAGACGGGGATATTGATGAAGATGTTAGCCATAGAATCAAGACAGGGTGGATGAAGTGGTGCAAAGCATCTAGTGTTCTATGTGACAAAAGGGTACCACAGAAGCTAAAAGACAAGTTTTATAGGATGGCGATTAGACCTGCTATGTTGTATGGTGTAGAATGTTGGCCTATGAAAAGACGACATGTTCAACAGATAAGTGTCGCGAAAATGCGTATGTTGCGTTGGATTTGCGGTCATACAAGAAGAGATCGAGTTCGGAACGATGATATACGTGATAGATTAGGGGTAACACCAATTGAAGAAAAGCTTGTCCAACACCGGTTGAGATGATTTGGACATGTCCAACGGAGACCTCCAGAGGCACCGGTGCGTGGTGGAATCCTAAGCCAAGATAGTAACGTGAAGAGAGGCAGAGGAAGACCGAAGTTGACTTGGGTAGAGGCAATAAAAGGAGACTTGAAAGGATGGAATATACTCAAAGACTTAGCCTTAGATAGGAGTGCTTAAAAAACAGCTATTCACGTGCTTAAACCTTGATTGCTTATGCTGGGTTTCAATTTTAGCCTGTCCCAACTTGTTTGAGACTGTTGTCGTAATTATACGAATAGTTGGTTGTCTAAATTCAGGAACCTGAAATACGTCAACTCCCATACCAGATATACATTCTATCCAAGATGCCACGCCAATTTGTATTCCGTTGGTCGAAAAGCAAGAGGCCAGCGAATTCAGCGATGTGTCATGAGACATGGACCAATATGAGAACCAGACAGGACAGCTATGACAACTGACAGACTCGGTTCAGCATTTCAGCAGCAAAACTAGCTCACCTGAGCAGCAAAGGTTCAAATTCTACATGCTAAGACAGAAATTTAAGCACAGGATGAGACTAGAGGTTGATAACAGTCTCCGACAGCGATTTACAGTTAGCACGATGTAAGGTGCAATAAGAACCTGGGCAGCACTTGCAGCAAGAAGAGAATTTAGCACATGCAAAACAGGCAGCAAGTAGTGGCTGCTGGGCACCAACAAAAACACAAATTAACCAATGCAAATAGGCAAGCACAATCACACGTTCTTTGATATCAAAACTGATGTATTTGAGATGCTATGAAAGATCATAACATTGCCACAGTTAAGTTGCTAATGATAGCAAGTGGGTTCACAATACTCAGATTCTCAGAATCATGAAGCAAACAGAAAGGATAACTGATTCATCATACACAGCAAGTCTTCTAAAGCCGCACCACTCCAAGACTACTACTAGAAACAGTTTACTCATCCTCCTGGCTGCGGAGACGGGCAAGTTTGTTGGTGACCACAACGTCAAGCTGAGCAGCTCGCTCCACAATTTCCTTACGCTTCTTAGTGGACACATTGTGTGCAATTTCAGCACAGTATGTCCTGTTGTGAAGCAAGCAATACAAATATTAGTAAATGATTGATGATTTTGAATCAAAAGGGTGTACAGGAATTGGGAATCTGCTACACTCCTGAAATAAAATAAGTAGGTTTGCTGAAGATCCAAAAAAATGCATACCTGTTGTGCATCATAAGCAACTCCAGCTCGGATACATTATGCACGACAAACTTCTTAAACTTGTTGGGGAGATAGTGCCTGGTCTTATTGTCAGAGCCATATCCAATGTTAGGCATCAAGGTGCATCCTTTGAACTTCCGCCTGACACGGGAGTCGATACCCTTGGGCCTGCGCCAGCTTGGCTAGAGAAAACAGCATTGGCAAAATTAGCATAAACTAATAGAAATATTTATGCAAGACGATGCAAATATATAGATACCAATGAATTAGAAAGGTGTGCGTATTTTTTTATAGGATATATACTTATGCCTGGAGCTAGAAGTCATATCCAAGACTCAATTCATGGCCCTCCCAAGAAAAAGAAGGGGGGGAAACTCTGGCACGTTTATGCACGAATGCACGATGCGACACATTTCAAATTCACCCAGCTACGAACATGGCCAGAAGCATGGGCATTTGGTACAGTTTTGTGTATGGCACATTTCTGATTCACCCAGTAGCAAGCATGGTGTGAAGTAATGAGCATTTGCTACACTGTACAGTATTGTTTCCAAGTTATCCCCAGCTACAGAATAAGTGGATAAGTGGAATTACAGCAATACAAACTAATTAATAATTAACTTTCATAAACATGAGGGACTTGGTCTCTTTTTTAACAGTTGCTTGATCAAAAACTGTTGCATCAACCAAAGGAGGCATCCTAAAATGAGGAAAGCTTTTATACTAATCCAGCAATTCACAAGCTAAGCTTACATTTCAGGCCGTTGGGGCAAGATTCTAAATCGAACAAGCCAACGACCTGTCACTAGCATCTTCCAGACTAAAATCAGGCCAAGATATTCAAATTGGTGCACATGTGACCATTCTTCCGGTGGACCTAAAACAAGTTAACTAGCAACCGGCAAATGGATCAACGAAGAGCGCAGCAAATGCTTGTTTAGGACGCAGAACAAGGGCTTCACGCATCAAGGGAACGGGTGATACCTTGAGGCACTTGTAGCGGTCGAGGTGGGGCCTCTTGAACTGCTTGACCCGCTTCTTCACGATCTTCTGAGTCAGCAGCGGCACCGCCATCTGCGGATACACAGTGGTGGCGAACGGGAAAATTTCAGTTCTGGACGAGAACAACACCCACCGAACAGTGGAAGCTGTGCGGATGGAGAGTGCACTGAGAGATGGCCGTACCTTCAAGTGCCCAGAGCGGTTTGCAGCGAACCAGGGAGGCGGCGCGGCGGCGGCGGCTGCTGGGGTGCCTGTGGGAGAGGAGTGGGTGTTTTATCCCCGAACCCTAGACAAGCAGTCCACCATGGGCGCGAGGTCGTTCATGGGCTCTGTCGAAAGCACAGCTAAAGACAACAAAGCCTGTACAGCCCAATAGGCCTCCTACTACTACTAACCCAGTCCAGGAACTCTTGTTGCTAAACAGTTCTTTTCTTTTTAAAGATCGGTCAACTGTGTAGTCAGGCTATTGCATTTCAAAATAAAAATGATGACCGAGTTTGATGGTGAATAAGGTATATTCACTGTGAAATGTGCTTTTTAGAAAGCTTTCTGAACCTTTTTTTTTACCGATACCGGGGTCATCAGGTGATGAAACATGAGTTCCACCAATTAATAATTTAATACTAGAATTATTTAATGTTTCATTTTCTTGCATTATGCTAAAAAATATCGTAGCTTCGTCCTTGGCAATGGCTCCAAACAATATCGATTCTCGAGCAGTGGAAGATGGAGTTATAGATGGCTCGTGCATAAGTTCATATATATGAATCCTATTTATCCAAATGAAGCCTGAACCAAAACCCTAATGATTAAACAAAAGAAATTAATACTCCATCCATTCCAAATTATAAGTCGTTTTGACTTTTTTGGTACATTAATTTTGCTATGTATCTAGATATAACGTATGTCTGGATACATAGCAAAATTTATGTAACAAAAAAGTCAAAGCGACTTATAATTTAGAACAGATGGAGTATTTCAGAACGATTATCCGGATTCCAAACACAGACGCGTAAACTAGTCAAAACAGATCAGAGTTTGCTCCAGAAATCCTAGATGTTCTTGTGGAATAGCAAAAGAATGTCGCAGGGAATGAAGGCTCAATTCTTGGAATGTATTACATTTGCCGAGTTCTGAGTAAAAAGGTTATGGATTTATCTATTTGATATATCTAAAGCTCGTTGTCAGATTGGTTGGCTGGTTCTCCATTGACGGCAACAAGCTCCGTGTCAAATATGAGGGTTGCTCCACCTGCAAGAAGAAAGATAAATGGCTCACATCAGTGATCTGCGGAAGTTCACCTAGGCATTATAGGAATCCATTCAGGTGGCAGTGCAAGGCATTATATGAATCCATTCAGGTGGCCGCAGTGTTAACAGGATAATGTAGATAAACCACTACGTGCTCTTGCCGTGCACAAACAATGTGATGATTACCCTCACGAATGTTTTGAATAATCCAAATGTGACTATCACAACTGTATGCTCAAAAGACAAAGAACAGAAAATATTAAAAAAACATACCAGGAATAGTAGGTGGCGAGCCTTGAGGTCCATAGCCAAGCTTTGATGGGATCTTCAACTTCCGCTTTTCACCAACGCACATTCCCAGGAGACCCTGATCCCATCCTACACAGTAAGTAAAGGAATTCAGACAGAGAAACAGAACACAACCAAAACAGAGAGTAGCCAATTCATTGCCATATTAATCACCTTTGATCACTTGTCCAGACCCCAAATCAAATTCAATAGGGTCACCTCTTTCATAGCTTGAATCAAAAACTGTTCCATCAGTAAGTTTTCCCTATCAAAAAAAAAAAATGACAGCATGTGAACATAACTCAGAAGGTATTTATTGTAATCACTAAGTATTATCTAGTATTAGAACTTCTTGAACCAATGTAGGCTGGTTGAATTAACAGTTCTGCTCAAAGTTTAAAAACCAATGATGATACCATTTTTCAAAATATTACAATGCTCTATTGTACATGTCCCACTTTCCCGAATCCAATAGAAGTTACAATGCTCTATTGTTAACTGGAATTGGCAATAAATCTAGTGGCAGCGGTGACAAAGCCTATGACATACAGCCATACAGATACATTTCAGTGCTGAACGGGCTAAAGAGAAATAGGTGCGACAGTTACTCTAAGAAAGCATTGAGTTCAATGGAGGACACCTGTCATTATTGATACATTGCAACATAAGGGGACCGATGAGAAGGCAGAACACTACACTTACACGGTAGTGAACTTTAACCTTGTCACCTTTGTGAGCTTGAATGCTGCAAGATTCCGGCTTGTGCTGCATTTTAAAATACCCAGGCATAGCATCAATATAAGAAACTGCCGAAAATAATTGCTGCAGATGATGGCAGCACATGCGATTATCCACACTCCATGGCAATTTTCTTACAACATGGTTAATGGTTTAGTAAGAATAGACAAATTCACTTCTGCTTGTCCAACTAGATATTCTATTCTTTAAGAGAATGGCAGAGGTGCTTTCTTACAACAAGACACTTTGGAAGTACCAGTTGTACGAAAACTTGATTTTCTGGCTGACAAAAAATTGAAGAGAGTTTTCAAAGCATTTTATGTTGCTTTGAAGCCGAATCAAAAAGGTTTTCAGGTCCCTACTCAGTATATGGTTTCCATAGGATTCATGCCCTTACTCAGTATGGAAACAAAACTGAAACTTGAACTATGCATTAATAAACCCATTTATTGTAATCATTCAAATACGAACCAGAATTAAACTATGACTTGTTGCACTGGGAAACAACAAAATGTTGAGTTCCATTAAAGAACCCTCTATCCAAATCACAATCTCCATGCATTCTCCGAAATAAACACACGAATTTTATATCGAGTAAACAATAAATCTTTTGCCCAATGGCTCAGTCAATCCCCACCAAAATGACAGAATTTTCCTGCACAGCTTACTTTCCCCACAATCCTCAGACCATCACTCCCATAACATCTTGTTTCTACAATTTTCGATCTGTTCAAAAAACTACGCCCACCCTCGTAACCAGAATCTCCAGTCTAATTAAAACAATATTTCCAGTCTAATTAAAACAATATTTCCATACTATAGTGCCATCTGTTACCGCTCTGCTTGGCCCAGTCCAATCCGACAAAGAAGGGAGGGAATGAAACATAACAAATCGCACATGCATAGTAAAAAAAAACAAGTCCTAGAAGGGATACCTTGACGCCGATCTGGAGCTCCGTCACCTCCCCGGATTTCTTGGCCGTGGCTGCGAAACACAAATGTCAGATCAGATCGGATCGGATCGGATCAGAGGCCGCTGCGCGGGTCGTGCCTCGACGAAAAATCGAGGCTGGGGCGGGGTCTACTCACCGACGAGCAGCGTCGCGGAGGCGGCGACTAGGAAGCAGAAAAGAATCTGCGGCTTCGCCATGGCTGGTGCTAGGGATTGAGTAAATTGCACGGCCGGTCTTTGGATGCCAAATACAAACGCCCTGATCGCTTGGTTTTGTTTGGTCTGAGCCGTACTTTTTTTTTCGAATAATATTTTTCTCTCACACCAAATCAGCTAATGTTACTTTCAACCATGACTTATCAGTCAAAGAAGCCCAAACGAATAGGAAAAATCGCACGTTTAGCTCCTTAACGAATTTATGTGATCCCATTTAAATCCAAAATAGATACGATGAGGGTTAAGGCCCACATCGCGCTCGACCCCCTCGCACGCGAGCGCTACCCAGTGCCTCCGCGTACGCGCGGCCGCGTGCTTCGGCGCCTCGGTGGTTGAGGCTGACCCTGACCCTGCCTCGCGGTGCCGCTGCTGCCGCGTTCGCACGTTGCCACTGCCGCTCCTGCATGCTGCCCGCCCTGCCCTGCTCGCTGGCCGCCTGTGAGCGCCGCTGCCCCTGCGCCGCTTCAAAAAGCCGCTGTCGCCATCCTGTGTGCCGTGCCAGGACGAGCCGATGAGGCAGCGCTCGTGCGTCCCTCGCCGAGGCATATTCCGCTCCGTTCGGTCGCTACGCGACGACCAACGGCCAACGACGCTTGGCCCATCTGCACCCACACGCTGACACGCTCTCTTAGCTTGGTCAGCCTTGCCCGAGCCAGAAACTCGTGGCCGCCGTCACCGCCATGGACGCCGGTAAACACCGCCACCTCTCTATTCCCAAATTCGCGCAACTCGAGGCCTCCCGCTCCAATTCCTCATGCGCCCAGTTATCGTGTAGCCCCTGGAAGTGACCCCGTTGCAAACCATCCACGGCGAGTGACGAATTTTGGAATCTCGCCGTTGCAGTCTGCCATGGTCGAGCGAGCTCCTGCTGCGCCGCGTTCCAACCTTCCTCGTGTTTATTTTTTTTATCTTGGACCGGGATGAAATCACTTAGGCCTTGTTTAGATTCAGGGTGTAAAATTTTGGGTGTCATATCGGATGTTACATGAGAGTGTCGCATGGAGTGTTCGAATACTAATAAAAAAACAAATTACAGAATCCACCAGTAAACCGCGAGACGAATTTATTAAGCTTAATTAATCCATCACCAGCACATGTGTTAGTGTAGCACTTTATTGTTAAATCATGGAGTAATTAGGCTTAAAAGATTTGTCTCGCAAAAGTAGTCGCAATCTGTGCAATTAGTTATTTTTTTAATCTATATTTAATACTCTATGCATGTGTCAAACATTCGATGTGATATGATGTAAAGTTTTGACGGAGAATCTAAATAAGGCCTTAGACACTGAGGAGTTAAACGTGCGATTTCATAGCTTAAAGACTTAGATAAAACATGTCCAATACTTTAAGGACCGGTTATGCAATTTACAGACTCGATCTCGTGGGGACACAAGAGCTGTGCGTTTATAACAGAGCGGCAAGACTCAGTGGCTGGCTGTTTGGTTTGGGTTAGGCTGGATAAAACGAGCCGGCTCGGCTCGTGAGCTAAAAACCTAAACTCAGATCGGTTTGTTAACAACTCAAGCTGGCACATTCCATAGCATCATTTTTAAACAATATATGTTTCTCTGATTTTGCAAAAATAGAAGAGATTGTAATATACACAAGTCAAAGCTTCAAAGTTCAAACGAGAGAGAGTTGTAGTTTAGAAATAAAAGGTAAAAAAACGATCTAATTTCTAGGAAGTTCATTGCTAAAATTAGGAATAACAGGATCAATAGATACATGATTTACTTTTAAGATATCCGTAGATACATGATGAAACAAGAAAATTCCTCAATATACAACCCAGCAATATCAAGGTAAACAAAATATACAAAGAGAACGCTAACCAATACTCCCCTCGTCCGTATCATTTTCACTTTTTAGAAAGTCAATCATTTTCAACTTTAATCAAATATCTATGAAAATATTAATATTTATGACGCATAATTTGTATTATTAGATGAATCACTGAATATATTTTCATAATAAATTTATTTAGGATGGAAGGGAGTAGGACAAAATTTAATAATCTTTTAGGATTAATTTATAGGTAATTGTAGCTTTTGTAAATGCATAGCTTTTGCTAAATCTATAATTCATAGCGGAGGGAGCAGTATTGATTGAAGTCTACTTGATAAAGAGAGCCAGCACCGCGCCGCTTTGGACCGAACGGAGTTTGGAGGCCAGCATCTATGAATTTAAATATGTATAACATTCGCTATCCACATATTTTATGGACAATTTAAATAAACTAATTTGGTTTTTATCGATGTTAATACATCTTTCTACAAAATTAGTCAAAATTCGAGAGAAAAATTTGACTTGGGAAAAGCTAAAGTAAACTATAATGTACTCACTCCACTATAAAGACGTTTTGACATTTCTAAAGCTTTTGCTATGCATTTAGATATATATCATGCCTAGATATATTTTAAATAATGTATTTTATAATTTGGAACTGAGGGAATAATCCCACCGTCAACAAATATGAAAATTAGCATTCCAAATTTGTCCACAAATATGAGCGTGTCTGGTATAATCTAGTACGGTGAAATCATCGCGTCTAGATAATCTAATAAGGTGAAATTATCTTTTAAATCTAATAACGTGAAATTATCTTTTAAGTATGTAGAATAGCACACAATACTTGTGCGACTATAACTTAGATCAAATTTCCAATGGCCAATCTCCACCAAGGACCCCTCTGATTTCTCTCGCCAACTGTCATCACAAGCGGCACTCACATGAATATGCAATCGTTTCGTTATTACCTTGCTTCTTTTAGTTGGCGCACAATTACCAGCAGGCTACACTGAGCTTAATCCGGAACAAGATCCCAGGCCTGGTTCAGTCCACAGAAACTCTAGCTGAATCTGAACATAAAGACAGATTCATGCGCAAATGTCTAACAAGTCAGGTAGCGTATACATCAAAATTGCACTGATTCAAAATATCTGATACTAGATTATATATCAAACCCATTTTGATTGCACAGACTATCTACACAAAGACGGATAGCATTAGTTACAGCGGCACATGTAGAGTTGTCGACTGATGCAATATATTATTTGGAGAGAAGATGTCATCAGCGCACGGAGTGGCAGCAGATAAACGGCATCCACGGCTGCTTCTTTTCTTTGGAACTCTTGTCAACGTCCTTATGAGGCAGTTTGGCTGGGGAGCTCCAATGATGGTCGTCAGAGCCAGATTTGGGTGACCCCGATTTCACTGACAAGTTGCTGTCCTTGGTCACCCGGCGCCGGAACGACAACACTCGTTCCTTGGTGCTGGGTTTCTTCACTTGGCTCTCCATGCTTGCCTCGGCGAGGAGGACCTTCAGCGGGACACGAACTCTTCCTGAATTCAGCTTGGCACCTGTCAATGCAATCTCTTCGTTCAGCTTGTTGTTGCTTCCATCTTGGCCAACCATGATGTTCAGCTGCTGCTTCTCTTCAACGCTACATGTGCTTTCTGCTGCAGCCATCTCCTTTGCATTCTGTGTTTTGTGTCCAATGTCATTTGCACTAAACCGTGCGTTAGTCTCCTTTGCATCAGTATCTTCAGTCAGCTTATTTTCTTCAAAATTTCCTATGATCTGTACTGCGCTCAACTCCTTTGTGTCGCTAGCTTGTGTCTGTTCTTCAACATAATCTGTCTGTCGCACCTCATTCATCCCTGCAGTGGTGCCTTCAATCAGCTTCTTTTCTTCAACATTAGCTGCATATGTATCATTTGCTGTAGGGTTGACAGCCTGGTTCATTTCAATACAATCAATGTTACGTACTGCAGTCATGTCCTTTGCACTAGCATCTTCGGTTTGCATAATTTCGTCAACTTCACTGAGTGCACTGATATCCTGCATAAGCTCCGTGGAGGCTGCCTGAGATGGCACAAAAATATCACCACTTGTATGCCCATTTTCCTGCAGGCCATGGTCAGTCAAGCAACTCTTGTTCACCAGTTCAGAACTACTGATGACAGGAACGTCTTCTGGACCAATTACTTCACCATTTTCACTGGCACTTGATGCAGATAATATGCGTTCATCTGCAGAAATGTCCAACAAATTTTAGCATAAAACCTTATGTATTCAAAGTTAAAGGTTTGATAGAAAAAACATACAGTAATATGGTGCCTCAAAATAAAATATCTTAGGATATGGAAATACTGTGAGACTACAATACAGGTCTCAGTGTACAGTCAACTTCAGAGGTACAGTCTAAACTTGCAAGGCAATGGGATTAGATAAACTCCCTCCATACTATACTACTACAGTACTGCGATACTTGATCAATCAAACTAGAAATGAAGATGAAGCATCCATCTCTAGCTTAGCTATGACCAATGCTTTCTAAAAGCCATCAATTAAATTGGCAAAGGATGCAAAACAGTGGACTTTTTTACAATGCAACAATAGTGTGCATTCCCTAAATGATATGTGAGCTCATAGAAAGTAACGAGCAAAAAAATGGGTATACAACAGAGTTCATGAGTGCAAACTTACATAAAAACAATGTGTAATTGAAGAGTCAGAAATTCTTACTTGAGTTATGGCATTGTTGAACTTCCGCCATCCTAGTTTGGTTCGAGACCGTTGGTTGATCCACCATTAGGGATGTAGAGTCAACTTGCTGTCTTGATTCAACAACATTTGGTACCTCCAAAAAGCAGCTCTCAGTGGGAAGTTCAAATAAGTCGTCATTCCTGTCATCGTCTAGATTAAATGGATTCTTGACAGAAGATGCTTGATCCATTAGTGAAGTGTCATGTTTCTGACTCGTAGAAAATTGATCTTCTGCAGGGATCATAGGGTCAATCTGCTTGTTGCAGACTTCCTCTTTAGTGAACCCGTTAGTCTTATGCATGGAAAGATTTTCTTCTACAGTATCTGTATGTGGCCTCTCCTCAAAGGTGAATTCTACATCATCCACATTAGTAACAGGAGGAGGGTCATCCATCTTGGTAACAGGAAGATCATCTTGAAAACCAGGAGCAGGACATCTCAAAGTTTTCTTGCTAGAATTCTCAACAGGTTGACTATTATCTGGTACATCCTCAACACTCCAGTTCTGTCTGGAGAGCTCCATGGAACAATCTGTAGCAGTATAATCAGTGCAAACAACATTCAGATCACCAGGCATGGGGTTATTGCTAGGATTGGTTATTGTTTCCAACTGAACATTATCTGATCCCACTACTTCTGATCTTGGTGGTGCTTCAGGCATGGTGTGAAGAACATGCATTCTATCTTCCATAAAACCTTCCACCTTTCTTGAGCATGTAGACTCTGATTCTGGTTCCAAAATTACCAGGCGGGTTTCCTGAAGGGATGAAGCATTCAAACAACCAATCATCTCACTATGAACAGATGCTTCATCAGATTTACTATAAACCATATCTGTGCAAGTGTAGTCAACATTCACAGCTTGTTCATATGGACCCCCAAGCTTGGGGTTTACTTCATGTTCAGCCAATCTAAGAGCTCCTTCCTCCAAATTACGTCCAACTATGGAGTCAGCAGATAAATCTGTCACATTGGGTTCTCCAGAAAATTGATCTTTGAGGAATCCATTTGTTTCTAGAGAATTTACATTTGTAGTTACACTTGACCCTGCTGAAATAGCATTCAATTTATTCATTTCTGTAGAAAATACTGAACTTGGTGCAGCGCCATCTTCAGAATCTGATTGATGAAGAAACGGAGATGCATCCTGGTATTCATCAAAGCTGTCTTCTCGCTCAGCTGGATGTCCCACAATATTTTGACTTCCATTAGTGCAAGCAATCAGTAATTCAGTTCCACTGCCCTCGTTTACAATTTCAATAGAATTGCTGCTGCAGTCAACAAGGCCATTTTCACTTAATTCACTGGCGTCGATTTGTGCTCCAGTATCTTCAAGAAAAACATTTTCACTGCTGCCGCAGTTAATCAGGTGGCCTTCACTTAATTCAGTGGCAATGACTTGAGCTCCAGTACAGGTAGGAGAAGAATGTTCTGTCAAAGACAAATCAACACAGAGTCTACGTAACTTGAATAAAAAGGTAAAATGATCCGATATTCTTTGAACAAAATGCTGCTGACAATACAAATAGATGCAAACAAATCAATAACTTTACAACCATAGGCCCAGTGAAACTTGAGTGAATATTATGAGGCATTTGAAAAGAAATACAAGGAACAAGTGTGAAAGAAAGGGAATCTGAGGCACAGAAAAAATGAATTAAGAATGAATTCACTGGCTCATTAATTGTTCACACAAAAGGTTATAACAGTAGTCCATACAGTAAAATCACAATGACACTGTGAATACTGAGGCATGAGAAAAATGTCGTCCATACAGTAAAATAAGTGAGGACCGATAAATCATGCAAGTAACAGGTTAACAGTTAATAATACTGATACCCGACAACAAATACATATCATGGCATTAGTTAATATAATAATGATCTCAAGTAGACAATGCAGAAGCTTCCTTGGGAACGAAGTTGACAATCTAGAGGGCTAAAGCCTAAAAGGGGCACAAACAGTAGCTTGCTCCTCAATTCTCACAATCGCAGCATTATAATAATCTGAACTTAGAAGACCTACCAATGCAGCGACTTTACAATTGATCAATAACACACAGTCATAACAATTAGAAAAAACAGTAAATTGTGGCAAACGTTGTCAACGCCCCAAATGACGGGATCTGTTCAAGTATGAGAAGAAGATGACATATATATAATTTTTTAAAAAAAGGACAAGGCATGCAGACACAATGAAATGGTAACACTTCTGTTTTGCAAATAAATAGGACGCCCATGTGACTAAGACAACATGTGGTGGAGGGCCACGACAAACTAGCAGACTCAAGAAAACAAGTCTTCAACGACAAGATCAAAGAAATCCTACCCACCTATGCGGATATGTTGGATTTTTAGAAAAACAGATGGTTTACCAAAAACCAAGAAACCAACAAATTCATCCTATAGCAGACTAGAGAACGAATCCAATGTATGTACATGTCCACAAAGACAAGGAACGAATTCTTACAGCTGACCAGTATCAAGGGAACAAATTTCCATGAGACAAGGAGAGAGATTCGAGACGACGGATACACATAGATCTCAGCTTCTGGAGTATGAAATTACTACTGACATATTAGTAATAACATACTACTAGCCAAGTTCAGATCTACAGTTGGAAGCTACAAATACAACGCACTCCAACTGTTGTACTGCATCGTTATCACAAAAGTATCTCCCCAACTCCAAGGAAAACGAGAAAGTACCCACGCTTTGAGCTTTAATGCGACCCAAGAGCCACGCAGACTTTTATTCCAGGTCTCCACACGAGAAACGTCTCACTATGCCCATGTGAGTTTTGCGCCCCTCCTCCCTCTTCAACCGGGGAACAGGGGGGAAAGGCAGCCAAACCTTTTGCGGCTTTTCCCTTTCAATGTATCGCAAAATGCAGTACGGGCAAAACAACAAAAAGCGCAAGATGCCACAATCTATGCAAATCGGTTTACATAACCTCTGAACCTAACTCCAATTTCGATTTGTAACATCCCAAAACGCAGGACGCAAATGAAGGAAGTAACAGCAGCAAGCCCTGGACAAAGAGAGAAAGACCAGCGATTACCTGCTGCAATCACCTTGTCCTCCACAGAAGTGTCAACTTCTCCCGCAGATCCGCGCAACGCCGCGCCTCCTCCATTGGCCTCGGTCGTGCCAATCTCCTCTCGCTGTCGTCCTCCTTCACCACCTGCAACGGAACGAACGAACAGGCACGGCCATCAGAACCACCGAACGGAAAAAGTAAACCCATTGAATCCAGATAAAACGAAACGAGAAGCGCCAGCTAAACCCCAGGACGTACCGAGCACCGTCCGCCCGGCCGCATTGCGGTCGCCGGCGCCGTCCTCCCGCTCGCCCACGCCAACCCCGACCCCCGCAACGGCTTCCTCAACCTCCGCCACCGCCGCCGCCGGCGGCGGCAGCGCCTTGCCGCAGTGCTTGCGGTGGGAGCGGCGGAGCTTGGCGCTGGGGTGCGGGTTCGGGTACTGGTACCCGCAGACGTGGCAGAGGTGGTCCCCGCTGAGCGCCGCCGCCTCCTTCCCGCCGTGCCTCTTCTCGTCGGTCTCCATGGCCGGGCTCCGCTGCGCTGCGCCAATGGATGGCAGGGCAGCCGCGGCGGCGATGATGGAACGGCGATCGGCTTTGATAAAGGCTACCGCTGCTCCGTTTTGAACGGGGGGTTTGGGTTTGGTGGTTTTGGGAGGTGCGAGTTGCGGGCGGCGTCGGGTAAGGTCAGGAGGGGCTTGGCTTTAACAAGCCACGTGCGCGCGAGTATGACGGGTGGAGCCGCGATACGTGGGGCCCGGACGTCGGTGAGTATGGGACGCCCAAGTAGATCCATCAATGCGGGCCATGTGCGCGGCGGGGCGGGGAGGAAATTCCCTTGGCCGGTTTCTTCTAGGGCACTCGCTCAGTCGCTCCCGTGGAAGGTTTGTTGGAGAGGGAAGTTGGGTGCAAATGTTACGGATTATTCTATTTCGAATTTGTTTAGACGAGTTTAGGTATGTTTATATTCAAGTTTGAATATTTAATATTTGGTAATCTAAATACTCAAATTACATATTTATAGTGTTCATATCTATCTGTATCCTATTCGAAATAGACGTCGTCCATATCCGAATAGAAATATAAAAATAAATATAATATCAGTGATATCCATCCATATCGGATCTATTTGTATCCGAATAGAAATATGAAAATAAATATAATATCGACAATATCCATCCATATCCGATCTACCTGTATTCGAATAGAAAAATAAGAATAAATATAATATTGATGATATCCATCTGTATCCGATAAGTCTGCACCTCGAGAGGAAAGGGAGGGCAGGTGCGGTCCTACCTGGAAGCGAAGTCGTGCCGGGGTGGTACGGAACTGCGCTAGATCTTGCCGTTGCGTGCGTGATGGACCGCTGAGGGCGCCGGTGAGGACAGGAGGACGCGAGCCCGTGGAGACGAACAACGTGAGAGCGACAAGTCTTTGGGACCTGCTTTGTGCCTTTTTGGCCCCTGGGCGTGGGCGTGCTTCTGGCCTGCCTTCTGCTTCATCGTGTTCCCTAGACCTAGACGGAGCCTGGGTAAAAACCTGAGCTTTGATCCTGTGATCATGCGCTGTGGGCAGATAATTTTTCTGTGGCTTGTAACTGAAATTCGAACGCCAGGACCGTGGATTCCACTGAACGTGCACACTTGCAGTACAGGCATAGCTAGCTGAAGGTCCACGGGAAAACGGTTACTGTGGCCCCATTCGCTGGTCTGAAGTTTGGCTGAATTATCTGAAAAACATTGTTCTGGCTGAAATGGCGTGAGAGAAAAACACTGTTCCGACTAAAACTAGAAGCCAAACAAGCCAAGTTTCAGACCAGCCGAACGGCCCTGCGTGATCCTATCCTATCCTATCCTACGGGCTACGGCGACGAAAACGTCTCCACAGCCAGCTTTTAACGCGGTGTTTGACGATCCATCCACATCCAGGATCAGACGGGTGCATCTGGTCTGCCTATCATCGCCTCCCACGCGGCCACGCCTGGCCGGCCCCTGCTGTGAAGTAACAGCCACTAGTGATTTGCGGGCGCCCATGCGCGCGAGTAATGATCAAACACATTTTTTTTGAAACAAACGGTAAACAATAAAACAGGCAGCACATATTGCATGGAACATGGAGGTTGTCCAGACAGCATCTAAATGTTCCAGGAGATAAAGCCATGGTGCGACGATAGGTGTCTTACATAATTATACATAAAAGTGTCAGGGCCAGGTTGGCAATAAAACATAGTCTGAGAGACAGCCTAATACAACATGCTGGACGTGGTTAAAACCATAGCAGCGCATGCTTAGATAGAAGACCGAAGGAAGGGGCGCCAGCTTTACGGATCTTGGCAGCTTCAGTGGAGGTGTCAGCTCCGATCTGACTCAAAGCTACGAGCGGGTGAATAATCTGAGAGTTTGCATGTATAGATGTTAGTGTGTATCATGTTAGTGGAAGCGCACAGCTAGAAAAGCATAGGTGTAGCTGCTGATGTATCTCGGGGCAAGTAGAAAGGCTCGTCAGAGGAAACGCTATAGGAGGAAGAGCTGCTGTCCGATGCATATTCGTGGTATCCTGCACGTTCAAGCCTTCTATTGGCTGCAAGTCATACAGAAGCATTATGACTAAACCGCTAAGACACCAAACGCTTAATGTGTTATGAATAGTACCTCACTACCTCTATGCTGACAAGCATAGGCTTCTTGAAGCACTTCCCTGTCGTAGCCAAATTCCTCGGCTAATTCAAATAGTGGATGAAACAGCGGTGAAGATAAGGCAATAGAAAAAGGCAGTAATGAAATATGTTGTCAGTGCAATCAAAGGTGGAATATATGATTATCACCTGTGTCAAAGGATGCAACAGAACCAGCTGAGCCAAAGCTAGCTGGATTGGCATGGACCTCGTTCTCTACAAACGCTGGTGCCTCGGAATAGTTGTAGGTTGCCATCGTGACAGGAAACACCACGTTGGTCACCCCGTGTGGGCCTGTGTATTGTAAACCGACCTCACCAGACTTTGGGATACAGTCTTTGTTGAGTGTGTATGCATCGACACGGCATACGCCTCTAGACTCGTTGAAGTTATGAGCCTGGATGCTACAGTGGCGCTCAAGCAAGGGTCCTAAGGCACTTGGATTGAATGTATGCGGCGGAAAGCCATCAATATTCGTCATGTTCGCTTGGGCTTGTTTGGCTTATAAGTCGTACTTTTTCAGCCAACGAACAGTATTTTTCTCTCACACCAAATCAACCAACAGTACTTTCAGCCATGATTTATCAGCCAAATAAGCTCAAACGAAGAGGTTGATAATCAGCCGCTAGTATGACCGGGCATGTGCACAAAAAAAAAAGGAACCGGAGAGAAAAAAGTGTTTCTATGTACTCTTAGCGCATTATAGTCGTCATTGAGGACGAACTACATACTATACGGGAAGATCAGAACGAAGGTGACATCCCGGCGCCACCACACTGATCAGTGAGTTCAGTAGTGTTGGCACCTAGTGATCTAGCTGATGAAAAAGCTCATGATCCGTGAGTGATTGGTTTACTTGGATTGGAAATGATTTGTCGCAGGGGATAAGCCAGGTGGTTGAAGATGGCTAGGACGCTAGTCTATGCAGCTAGCAGGAACCCGAACATCATTTGCAGGCTTGCAGCAAGTGCAACATATGCAGAAACAGGTGGCGAGTAGTGGCAGCTGGCGCGGCAATAGAATCATGAATAAATTAACCGATTCAGTACACACGCACAATCACGCGCTTCAATTTTAGTATCATCAAACCGCTGTTGATAGCAAGTCGCAGTCGTTTTTTTTTTTTTTTTTTTTGAGGGGAAGTCGCAGTCGTTAGGAACAAGTGAGAAGTAATATATAAGCTTGTCATGAACTTTTCTTTTTTGTTTCCTTCCCGTGGCTCCTAGTAGGAGTTGAGAGCGATTGTTTTACTTGCACCGGAAGTGATTTCTCGGTGGGGATAAACGAGGTGGTTAAAGATGTGCCTAGACGGCTGGAGTGGGGGTGGTTAGCTGCGCGAAACGTAACGTACGTTTCATCTCGCTCCCCAGTCATCGCCGCCGTCTCATGAGTCATGAGTCACGATCATTTGATTCATTTCTCCTGTGTGTGCGTGGTGTTAGCCGTTGGATATGATATTTGTTGTTATGGTAATACTTATATGGTACTAGGTGGTGGTGGTGAGGGCGAACGTGAAGTGGTTAACCGTTCTCGATCGAGCCATGATGCCGACCACTTGGCCGGAGCCTGGAGGAATCTTGCTGGCCCCTCCGTAGCGCCCACGCCAAGCAAAGCCACACTAGCCCCAAAAGGAGCTCCGGCCTCCGGCCACTGTTGCTCCGACGTCCGACCCTCGTCGTCGCCGTCCTTTACCGCTAGCGCTAGTTATCGCTCCCTCCCGTAGTCCTCGGGAGGGGGGTGGTTGTCAGATGACGGCAATGCCGCCGGACCTGGGTACGAGCGTGCGTGGGTGGCGGTGGCGGACGAGTCGTATTTGGGCGCAGTGCATGATCGTCGATCGATCCTGCGCACGCTTGCACGGCCGGAGTAATTTTTTTTCCCTTTGGGACCTGGTGTCGACGTGAGGCGTCTTCTCGTGACAGACACGAGGGTTCAGTGATGTTTTGGGCCGTCCGAGAGGCTTTACAGCTCGTTCGTGCAGCCCAACTCAGACCTCACACACGTACTCCCTCTGTCTCAAAATAAAAGTCATTCTCGTTTATCGAGAAATCAACTTTTTCTAACTTTGACTAATTATATATAAAAAAATATTAATATTTATAATACATAATTAATATCATTAGATATATCATTGAATAAACTATCATAATAAATTTATTTGGAGACATAAATGTTGTGCGTATTTTTCATAAATCTAGTTAAAATTAAAAAAAAGTTTGACCTGCACGCATCCCATAACGTCATCTATTCAGAGGGAGTACTGAAAACTGAATCGAACTACCTTTCCACCTTCCATTTCTGATTTTCAAAGCGAGCAGGAGCAACTGAGCAAGCCTTCACTGTCATAGCACATGTCTGGGTAAGAAGTAGTACTGTGTTAGAACATCTACGTTGCCCACACCACTTCCCTAGCTCCCAAGTCGTATAATCCGCAGGTTACACAAAATAAGAGTTCAAGACTCAAATGTCATCTTCTCGCCCCCACTGTCCTTCGAGGCAGTCAGTTAAGAGTCCAACGAGCTAGGGAACTTGCAGGATCCATGGCCTGAAGGAAAAAAAAAGGATTAAAAAAAAGGATTCATTAGCATGACGTCTGAACAGCTAAAGATGCACGACAGAAACAAGATGGTCAATTGCTTGAGCTACTAGAAGAAGATGCATGAGCCGAACATCTCAAAAATGGTCAATCGCTTGGGCCAGCAGAAAACTAAAGAGCATCATTAAGGTAAGCTTCAGGTACTAATGTACCATCATCATCATCTTATCAATGCCATACTGTTCAGAGACCGCAATGTAAGAGCACTGGAATCATTACATGACTGACACTTTATGTGAATGCAATTCTGC